TTACTGGCCAAAGAGGAACCTTATTTTGGCATGCCCATATTTCATGGCTTAGAGTCACACTCTATGGACCTATAGTCATCCTTCCAAAGAGAGGAGTTCCCTATCCATTTCCACAACCCTTCAAAGAAGTCCCCATCATTTTTGGTATAAACATCGACAATCTTTCTTTGGTTTCTGTAAAATATTAAATCGATAATCGAATTGAACTAATTCATCTAAAATATTGAGAAGTATCTTATAAACATCGTCAAATCTTTCTTTGGAATTTTGCAGGTGAATGGTGGAAGGCAGATACAGAGACAATTATTAACACAGCCATGCAAACAGGAGGTGCCCCAAATATTTCTGATGCCTATACCTTTAATGGTCTTCCAGGACCCTTGTACAACTGCTCATCCAAAGGTGCAATAAAACACATTCGTCTATTAAACTTTCTCGTCTAAAAGTTTTTTCTAGTTGAGTTAACTTTTTTTTCTCGAATTTTGTAGACGCCTTCAAATTGAAGGTGAAACCAGGGAAGACCTACCTTCTAAGATTAATCAATGCTGCACTGAATGATGAACTATTCTTCAGCATTGCGAACCACAACCTCACCGTAGTCGAAGCGGATGCTGTCTATGTAAAACCATTCAAGACAAGCATTGTTCTCATAACACCCGGACAAACAACAAATGTACTTCTCAAAACCAAACATCATAATCCTAACGCAACCTTCCTCATCGCCGCCCAGCCTTATGCCACCGGCCCTGCTGCATTCGACAATTCAACCTCTGCCGGAATTCTCGAATACCATACACCGTCAAACACCACCAAGAAAATTAAAAAATTCCCCCTCTCGAAACCAAAACTTCCAATTTTCAATGACACTACATTTGCCACAAGTTTTATCAAGAAAATCAGAAGTTTAAACAGTGCAAAATTCCCAGCAAAAGTCCCTCAAAAAGTTGATAAGCACTATTTCTTCACAGTAGGGTTAGGTTTAAATCCATGTCCTAAGAACCGAACATGCCAAGGACCCAACAATACAATGTTGACAGCTTCTGTCAACAACGTCTCATTTGTAATGCCGAGTTCAGCCCTTCTTCAAGCTCATTTCTCCAACCAATCGAAAGGAGTGTACACAACTGATTTTCCGGCGAACCCGCAGTTCAAGTTCAACTACACTGGCACGCCGCCGAACAACATTATGGTGACTTCCGGCACGAAGGTTGTGGTACTTCCATTTAACACTACTGTGGAGTTGATTATGCAGGATACAAGCATAATCGGTGCAGAAAGTCACCCGCTCCACCTCCACGGATTCAATTTCTTTGTTGTGGGTCAGGGTTTTGGAAACTATAACTCTAAAACAGATCCGGCAAAGTTCAATTTGGTCGACCCGGCTGAAAGAAACACCGTTGGTGTGCCTTCCGGCGGCTGGGTGGCTATTCGATTTCTTGCAGACAATCCAGGTACATAAATTTATAATTTTATGTGCTTTTCGTTTTCGTTTTGTGCAATTAATTTTGATAATATATATCGTATGCATGAATAAATTAGGTGTATGGTTCATGCACTGTCACTTGGAAGTCCACACAAGCTGGGGACTGAAAATGGCTTGGATTGTAATGGATGGAAAGCACCGCCACCAGAAGTTGCCGCCTCCGCCATCTGATCTTCCCAAGTGTTGATTATAACATTTTTTACGTATTTTTACCGGAACTTATAAATTTTTTTCACATTAGGTCTCTTGGGTTTTAGTTGCTTTGAGAATCATGATCATGTACCCTTCCAGAAAATGGTGCAAATTTTGGCCACATCAAATTATTTGTATTAGCCTTCAACCCTTTTGTTATTCATCAATTTTGTATTTTAACTTTTGAGCAAAGCACGGTTACTTACAGGACATGATGCCTGTTTTCTTCTTCTTGCACTGCCATTAATGTGATAAGAGTCAAGAAAAATGATATATAGTATCAATCTAAGTATTTGTTTTTCATTCACATTACTCGAGAAGCTCACTTATTTTTGAGATCAAGGTCATTTTAGTTCATCAATTTTCAACTATAAGTTGTTTACTCGAATGATAAAGATTTCCTTTCATTTTTGAATTACGAAAAATAGTCAATACAATTGACTAATTGCTTACACAACCTTCATGTTACATGTCATTCTACATAACAAGAGATATGCTGCACAAATAAGACTGGGGACAAAGTTTTTGAACAAGGGGAAACGTGTCAAACATCGATTGGACAGTTTGGAGAAAAAATAATAAAAGCATCGACCAGCTCCTGACACACATTCGTGTCCCTAAACCCTGCATGTTACCCGTTGCTTACACAACTTGCATATTACATGTCTTTCTTGATAACAAGAGTTATGCTACACAAACAGGACGGGGATAGAGGTTTTAGACAGGGAGATGCGTTTCAAACATCGATTAAACATTTTGGGGGGAAAAAAAAGAAAAGAAAAAAATACCGATCAGTTACTGACACACAGTCTCTGTCCCTAAACCCATCACCTTCCCGTGTTGGACTAGCATAATTGTGATAACTGTAGGAATTGGTTCAAATATTAAATGAAAAGGTGTGTAAAAATTGAAAAATAAAAAGGTGTGTAAAAAATGGAAAATGAAAAGGTGTGACTACGTATCAACTTTAACCAAATATTCGGACTTGATCCGATGGTCAAATTACAAAAGTAAATAGACCAACTTATTCTACTCGTCGAGTAGATCGTCGTGGTATATTTGGAATCTCGAAACCAATTCCGGATGAATGAGAAATTGCGAACCAAAGTTGGAAGAAATGAAGTGTTGCAACTTTTCGAAAAGTGCAAGTTTTGGCTAAGTGTTGCAACTTTTTTGAAAGGATGCATGTTTTAGCCCACACTATTTCATTTGCACTCTTTTTACATTTATAAATAGAACCCTATGGACATGATTTTGGGTACACCAATTGCATTGAGCATTCATTCTCCTTATGCAATTCTCTTCTTTCTAATTCTATAGTATTTCATACATTTCCTTTGTAGAGGGGAAATTCTGTCAAAAGTTCGTCGGTTTCTTGTGGTTTGAAATGTTGTTACCACAAGTTGTGAATCCATTGTATCTTGAGAGACAAGTGTCATTCACCGTGAATACCGTAGCGAGACAATTTGTCTTAAGGAAAGAGATAACGTCTCGCCTTAGATTATTCTCTATTTCTACTCTTTCTTAATCCTTGTTTTGCGTAATCTTTATACCGAAACTCTGTCCAAATTTTCATTCATATAAATTGTGTTTTAATCACGCTCTTACGAGTTAAAACTGATCAAACAAATATATAAAAAACCAACCGTTACATAACCTTTTTTATAAATCATCTCCAACAATAACAAACGCATATAACCAGCCTGTAATTTTTGTCGGAGAACTAACGTTAAAATGATATTCGGTGATTGATTGTTCTAAAATTATCCTGTGTGCTATCCTGTATCCATAGACGAAACAGCGGCTGGACCACTGGTCCACGTATCTCGGGTTACATGGGATCAAACCTCGTGGGATGGGTTCTTTCCTAGTCAACATTTCAAGATTTGAGGATTCATTGCATATTTTCAGGTCTTAGAGAGTGTAATTCAGTTTTTGTCATTTTGTGAATCGAGAGGCTACAACACTCAATGAAATGTCTTCTCAACTATATTAATTTCATGAACTAACAAATTATTAAAATGATTTTTCAAGAGATTCTTGTTACACTATTTTGCGCATCAAACATACTTTTATCAAGAATATGACTTTCATGGTGGAAGGCATTTGCAAATGTTTCAATCACTCCCTAGTTGAGTTATACATGGATCCAATATGACCTTCATCGGCATTAGAATTTTGGTCTTTATTAACTATTTACAATTGATCGATTACTTTTTGTCTACATATTCTTTAAATCAGCAAATATTATTTAATTATCCACACTTGCATATCTACAATTTAAATTGTTTATAAACAATTCTCAAACACAAGTATATCACGTTAAATTGACAAATCTCTTGTCTTGCTAGGGATGTCAAAAAAAAATTATCAAAATCGATACTCGTGGGGCCCGTCCAAACGGGATAGAGATTACCTGCTTAATCACATATTCAGGTTGGGAAATTTCGCCATTTTATTTTATTTTTTTTTAAGAATTCAATACTTTAAATAGAAAATTCCACGAAATTTCGTTAATTCTAATAGAAAATAACAACTAAAATTATTTAAGAAATATAATAAACAATAAAAATCTTAATTTACCAAATATATTTGAATAATTTAACTTTTAAAAATAAATTAATTAATTACAAAATTTAATAATTATATTATTATCTCACTTGAATGAATGTGGACAATGAAATGAACTTTCAAGAGCATGTTTTCATTCCAATGTCTTGCCATGTTATACTATAGAACACTTCGTAATTAATGTTATATGTTATCCATCACATTCTTACAAATGTAGATGGTAAATTAAATTTTATAAGATACTTCTTAATATTTTAATTCATGATTAACTATTGTGGGTATTTGGCTTCTTAAGGAGGTTGCGAGATGCTCAAACCTTCAAAAGTTTAATAATATTAAATAAATTATTTTTCTTTTTCCTATCATTTCCTTTCTTTTATATTCTTTATTACATTGAGACACGGGACACAGGAAGCCCTTGTTTAAATCAATATTCAAATATTTTCATTATCCAATAAAAACAGACCAAAAAACAAAAAAGTAATGCAATTCGTGGTAACTTACTGCGACAGTTACGTTACGTGACATAAATATGGCATGTAGTTATTTGATATATTAATGTTGTAGTTTTTTATTGACTTATTTATGAGTTTTGCTACACGGACATCGGGTTTGACATTTCGATGCACACTCCTCTCACATGAGATTTTCAAAGATTTTTTTTATTGTCGTGGGGCCCACCCCTTGAGGAGAGTGACACATCCAACAACTATATGTCTATGTTCCAAGTGGGACGACAGTGAGGGACTAAACTTATCCATTATGTGTCACCCAATGCACGACGACGCGCGTGGAACTAAAAATAATTGAGTTTTGGAGAAGGACGAAATTAAAAGTGGATGGATTGATTGAATCGTGGATAACAATAACGGACTATATCTTGAGAGATGATCATTCACCCCCCTCTTAAATCTCAGTGTTTTCTACTGTAATTGATCCTTATTTCAATTCTCACGGGTTTTTCTTGCTTACTTCAGTTCAAGTGACTTGAAATCTAGTTTTTTAGATCATGATGCCAGAAGACGTCAACAGCCCCGTTGAAATTAACAGG